CTGGCACTTAATTTACTCATATAGAGTGAAACCCACAGAAACTGATAATGACCTGACTTGACAACCTTGTGAAGAACTATGATGAACTAAATCCCACACTGTAGTTATACATGAGCTATAAATATTTGGTTAATAAAGAATCTACTTATAAAAAAAGCCTTTTGAAAAGAGAGCAGACCCCTGTATATATATTTTGTATCGGTTTACATTCACGTCACTACAGCAGCCTACAGCAGATGTGGGAGTTGCCATGCCTTTTCATTGGGGAAAGTAACCCATAGTTTTACACTACCTGATGGACCAATGATCTCTGGAATTGGGCGGGCTTCTAAACGTTTAAAGGGCAAAACAATGCCCAAGAGTAGAGCAACAAAACTGCCCTGCCTCCCGCCACCCAATAAGCAACAAGAGACTCGGGGTTGGGGTGAAACTGACCGAGTCCCCATCCAGCTGCTGTCCAGATTTACCGCAATGATTGTAAAGGAATCCAAGTTGTCCCTACTTTTCATAGTCTACAACAGGCAGTGGCGTAAAGTAACTAAGTAAAATACTTCGTACTACTTAAGTCGTTTTGGGGGTATATGTACTTTACTTGAGTATTTATATTTTTTAACAACTTTTACTCCACTACATTCCTAAAGAAAATATGTACTTTTTACTCCATACATTTTCCCTGGCACCCAAAACTACTCATTACATTTCAAATGCTCAGGCAGGACAGCAATTGGGTCCAATTCACACACTTATCAATATAATGCGTTGTCACCCCTACCGCCTCGGATCTGGCTGACTCACTAAACACAAATGCTGCGTTTGTAAATTATGTCTGAGTGTTGGAGTGTGCCCCTGGCTGTCCGTAAATAAAATGTATATCAAGAAAACTGTGCCATATAAGGAATTTGATTGATAGCATTTACTTTTACTCAAGTATGACAATTGAGTACCTTTTCCACCACTGTACTTAAGTACATTTAAAACCAGATACTTTTACTTTTACTCAAGTTGTATTTTACTGGGGGACTTTCACTTGAGTCATTTTCTATTAAGGTATCTTTACTTTTACTCAAGTATGACAGTTGAGTACTTTTTCTACCACTGACAACAGGCACCAAAGGTATTTTTTCTCTCAAAAAAAACACATATAGGCTAGGCTACATATCCTATGTAAATTACAGTTATTTAGAAATGCTTATTGCATATTATCCATGTCACATAGGAATACGGCTATTAGGCTACACATTTTTCAAAATGATCAACTGCAACATTATCAGAAGCCATAACAGCTCATGTAGGCTGTTACTTTTAAAGTAACAAGATTGCTGGATAGATTTGCAATTTACAATGAATGTTGAGAGCCATTATTTTCCTTATTCGCAGGTAGGTTATAGCGCTGATGAGCGCCTAATTAAGGTCTTAGGCTATTTATTTTCAGCATTATTTGTTCCAGTGTTTCTAAATTACGAATAGATGTTTGGACGATTAAAGCATATAAAAGACGTTACTTCGAAACATCAATGGATCACATATGCTAATAGTCCACACTACAAACGGCATTTTTCAAAGCAATTTCAAACAACCTCAAATGGTGTATTGGATGCTGTGACAATTTCTATGGTCCCATATAATCAAACAACCATAGACTACTAAAACTGTAAACTATGCCATCGATCAATAAACCATAGATAGCCTACAATGCTCGCACAGTGTACAACAAGCACAATAAACGATAGGCTACTGGTTCGCTGACACTTTTTTAACTTTATGAAACTTTTTAACCCAGTGGTCTACCTCTTTTCATTGTGATTAGACTATAGTCGGAGTATCCAATTAAACAAACACCGAAGCGAGAGCAAATTAAATCGGATGGGACTTACCTTAAGATTCTGATATGCTTCAAGCGTTCGAATGGCGGTATCAGTTAGCTTGACGTGATATAGAGATTTATTTGGAACGTTTTTGTTGATTTTTGCACAGGAGAGCCCATACCGACGCTCCTGTCTCAGCGCTGCCATGTCTACAACTGAGGTGAATTGGCGACATTCTCTGTGAAACGTCACTTGGACCTAGGCGGAGTTACCATTGCATGCGTTGCCGTGATCACGTCACGCACACACACACACACACACACACACACACACACACACACACACACACACACACACACACACACACTTCATGTACGTGTCTTTGTATGTCTTTGTTTTGATATTATAATAACAATGTCATACTGTAGGTTCTTTTAGAAGAATGTTTGCATAAACCATATTTTCTTACTACTGAATGAGAAGGAAAAGGAGGAAAAGCTATCTGTTAAAATAGACCCCCATCTAGAGAGCCTTTCCCTTATAGACTGAAAGCAATTTGAGGTAGACCTATCACAGAAAAAATGCTGAATATATAGTATAGGCCTAATGACTCTATGTTACCAAAACCTTTGGAAAGATTGCTTGTGTGACACAAAAATACTATGTTTTGGTATGCTTCTATTGTAAATAATAATGAATCATTGTTATTCCTATATTTCATGTGATGATTATTATCATATCATCTCCCTATTGGGTAATACAGATAAACAAATATGTTTATAACCTAGGTTCCAACTTATTCTATAGCCCTGAAGTCATAATAATCGCCAGATTAAAAACCATGGAAATATGAAATCTAGAAAAAATATGAAAAACGATTTTATTCTGAACTAGATTAAAAATACAAAAATATATTCAGTTGATCTGGTGGACCAATCCTGTGCTCCCAGACAGATTATGTGAAACGGACAGTGATGAAAAACTAGGGAATTTGGGTTAATTAAAGGCATAATCCCTAACAGACAAGATGCTTGGGCCTTGGATTAAGGAGCTCTCTCACAGTCACTAATAGAGTATTTAATTGCCATATGGCCATCTGAGGTTCTCTATGACTATCTAAACCAGACTATATCAACAACACTTATCACTGCAAATATACAGTGTACAGTGCAGTATGCTGCCTATTGACAATAATGTAAGAGGAAATATTGAATTCAGACCCCAAAGATGATCACTGTGAATGTTCTTGTCGGTTGTAGCTACAATGTGGGACAATATACCTCAGGAGATTTAACAACCCAAATCCAAACTCTCAAGTGATGGTATTAAGGAATCATAGAATGCAAGTGTGGTTCTTGCACAGCTGTGTGTTAGTCTCATGTTCAGGGTCCTTTCAGTGAATCACTCACTTTTGCAGTGCAACAGTGTTAAGGAGGTTGGGGCTAAAACAAGGGGGATCATAAAAACATATGTAGGTACAATTAAAAAGCTTTCCTCATGTTGAGCTTCCACACAAACTACCAAAATACATAGTATGAACACATTATTTTATAATTTTAATTCATTTGAATAGAGCAAAAGGTTAATACTTGGCATTGGAATTTTCCTTCTTTAGTGCATTTAGTTTAACTCAGAAAGCCATTTCCCCATTGAGTGGTCAATTAAACCATTTATCTAACATTAATTTGAGATTTTCCATCCAGATAATATGCATATTTTTTAATCAGTCTATACAGAATTGGTACAACAAGACATCCAGCTACAAGTGTAAACCTGTCTATCTCTATGCTATCTCAATACCCATTTCAGGTAAATAACCATAGCATTCACTGAAGGGCTCATTTTCCCTTCAGTCAAATTGGGAAAGTGGTCTTAAGTTTAGGCATGACAGTCTGAATATTTTTATTTCACTTTTCCTGTTGCGACATGACCAGAAACAGCAATGACACACACTCTCAAAAAAGCAGCTTTTAATAACTGTATACAATTACTGCAATATCTCAGTTAATTTATCCAAATTAATATAACAAAGATGGTATATTATGTTGACACAGTACCAGGGGATATCTAACAGACACTCCAAATAATGCACACAACAAACGTTTGTGTCATTGTTTCAAAACAAAAGCTGTTTTCATTTAAATTGTGAGTGCATTTTGAATTGAGGGATAGTTTATGAATACATGGGTTGTGGCTGTGTATACTGATATTGGTTGAAGGCTGCCATGCCATGAGTTATTAAGCTACACTCTATGAGATACAGTGTGTAGTCCCTATAGGACCGAGGCCTGTCTTGTCTTGAAAGTGTTGCTCACTGGCTCCTCTTCCACAGAAGGTATGTGGCAACCCTCGAAAAACCTGTTCTGTTTGTAGAAATATATTATCCCCAGATCCTATAGTAATATTTAGTTTGTGCCACTCAAATGTTCCTGTTTGATTGATTTTCCCTTCAAACGTATTAGAGGATTAAATGAGTGAAAGAAAGTGCATACATTGTTGCTGATAAGTATATAAAGGGAAATCCACTCAACTCAATAAAAAAGCACCCAGCATCTCACACAGGTCATCAGGGCCATTCTAAGTCTCCCTCTTAACACTTGACTACTTAAAAAGGGAAAATAAGATCTTGCGCCACATAGTAAAGCAAAACTGAGCCTAAGACGGCCGTCCCTGAGATCTTATTGGTGGAAAGCATTAATGGAAACTGCATTATGGGGCAGCACGATGAAGTCATTAAGAAGCTTACAGACTTTCAGGCAGATTAGATTTTGCTCTTCTAATCCTACAGATTACAGCCGCGCAAGCCTGCTGACCGAGTGTGCTTTGTTTGTTTTACAATTTCTTTCCATTTATCATTTCTTGTTGCTCCTAACTCTCTTGAATATGTAGCAGGATTGATAGGAGGTTAAGGTGAGACTGCGTATAGCTCTAGTTGATGAAACAAAGCTCTGGTAAAAACTATTGATGCAACTGGGATTTTGAGATGGTTATGGATGTTTTTAAATTGGATTTAACAGGAATTTATGTGGATATCAATTTTCATAAAAACTACAGACTGTCGCTAAAGGATGAAGGCACTTCTCAGCCGTAACTAGACCGAGCGACTGCTTCCACACTACAGAACCAACCAGCCAGGCAGGCAGCGTGGGGAGAGATAGGCTTGAGGAAGATCATCTCTTTTGGAGGCTTTCACAGATGGTGTCCCTTGCTCCCTGTAGTGAGATGGATACAGAGCCCTGCCCTGGAGAGCAAGAGAGGCGGGTGGTGGAGACCAATGAGCCAGAGTTGAAGGAGGCCTACACAGGTCCTGGTGACAAGGACAGTCAGAAAGAAAAGGAACTGTCCCATGGGCCTCAGCAGGAAGACAAGGAGTCCCATGGGGAGGGAGACCCCAGGATAGAAATCCAGGGTGGAGGGAACGCTGGCACTACGTTAAACTCCCTCCCTATCCCTGAGAAGACAGAGACCCCCTGTGTGGAAGAGAGGAAGCTGAAGAAGACCCCCAGTTTTGCAAAAACAGTGAGGTTCAGTGAGACAGAGTCTGTGGAGGACAGGGAGAGCACAGAGGAGAGTCTATTCCCAGACCATGAGATGGTGCAGTGGATCTTCTCCAGCTTTGAGGAGCTGTTCCTGGCTGAAGACTGGCAGGACATCACAGGTATGTTATTATTTCAATACAGTCATCATCATAAACCTTTTAAGCAATTATGATCTTGGAATATTGAAATGGTTGTTGAAGCAATATTGCTCTCATGGCAAACTATGTTGTTCTATTGTAAACACATTTGTTTGTCAATTGTTGTGGCACTGCCTGTAATTTGCATGCAAACAAATTCTACAGATGTTGTTTTCAAGTCATGTTTCTTCGTGGTCATGTTTTTCGTGGTCATGTCAATCTAATTAATGAAATTATATTTAGTTTAAACTGTATTACATGACATTATGCCCTTTCCTAATAGTTGTTTTTTCTCCAAGTGTCTGTTGATCAACAACAAGCAGATTAACCCTCTGCCCCCTCTCTCACCCTCCCTCCTCCCTCTCTCTGTCCGCCCCTTGATCCCTCCTTCTCCCAGATGACCGGCTGTTGAGGAAGAAGGTGCTGGCACCTGGCCCCCAGAAAGCTGAGCACCCAGCCTGGGGTCAGGAGGTCACAGTCAAAATGCAGGGAGTGCTGGAGGACAGGACTGTGGTGGAGAAGGACCCTAAACTGGTGTTCGTCATTGGAGAGGGAGATGTCAACCAGGTGGGCCCTAAAGACATTCTGACTGACAACAGGACAGGTTCCAACACACCTGTCCTGCACCCTGTCACACACAACTTAATCTGCTAAACATAACACAGGGTTGGCCTGATCCTTCAGAGAATGTGCATGTGATATAGGTCTTAGTATAGCCATAACACAACATAATTGTAAATTGTACATTGGTATTCTATGTGGCTATAGTGTTTCAATGTATGCGAAGTAAATTAATAACTCTTCATTAATGGATTTTCATATGTGTGCAAATAAACCATTAACAGTGAGGGAGCTGTGGGTAACACAGTGCTGTTTGACACACAGGCCCTGGAGGAGTGTGCTATAGCCATGCAACAGGACGAGATCACATTACTGCTGGCAGATTCACAGTACACCTATGGACTTCTGGGAAGGTAAACACTGCTGGGAGTGTCATGATCCACAGCACCACTGTAGGGCAAAGACACAATTACAACACAAAAATATACATCCAAACCAGTTTCAGTAAAAAAAAAAAGAAGAAGATATTTGGTTAAATTAAATAAGTTCTCTAAGCCCCTCCTCCAATCAATAAGGAGGTTGTGTTATGGGGGGGGGGGGGGGGGGGGGGACTGTAAAAACCCAAACATAGACTTGGCCATCTATCACCCCTCATTTAAAAAGTAATGTGACATCTATTATCACACTTAGGAGCAGTCCTAGTGTACCTGTTGATCAGAGGGCAGCCTGGCTGTCCCCAGTAGCCTGACTAATTAACCATTAACTGGAGCAGATGGCCTCCTCCAAACACCATTCACACATGGCCAGAGGCCTCTACCCTCCCTCACGCCCTATGGGAGGACACCACTCAAATTACAGTCAATGGCTTGGGTTTACAACCCATGCCCCATTAATAAGCCATTGCATGTATAGAATGTAACACATTGACACCTGTGGATCTGAAACAAACTCATATGATACTTCACATCCAGTATTTACTTCAACATGCCATTGTAACCTGATCATTATTTTTCAAATTACCACTTGACTTGTAAAAGAAAACTAAGTGAACGAAATGGCTTAAATTCAGTTATTTGCTGGCAAATGTCATGTTACCTTTAAAAAAGTATAAAATAAAGTATTCCTCCACAGGCATATAACTGTGTGTTTCTAACAGGTAAACAAAATAGGATAGAGCTAATGAACAGTATGCCACGCAATGTGTGTAATCTCCCACACAGATTACCCAATCATCATGTTGTTTAGGATCTTCCTCTTGATATTTACATACAACTGAATGTAGCTAATTGAGATGTGACAAACAATTTGTGGACAAAACAGTATAAAGATAATACAGCTGTCCTACAGTGTATATGTAAAGATTTGTTGTTTGCACTCTACTTTCCAGAATATAGCCATTTCTGAGGCAAGGGTGCCCTTAGACTGTGTCATGCCTCTGTGTGGTTTGATATTTCTTGTCCGAAGCTGATGCAGTGTAACGTGCATGCATTGCAGATCTTGGCCTCTGTTACGTGTGGTCCTATGCTATGTGTGAGGTCTTGTTTGTATTGAGTTTGTGGAGCTCCAGAGTAGTTGTTAAATTATATTTTAGAAAAGAGAGGGGTGAAAGGAAGGTGATCCTCGGAGGTCTGTCTGTTCCTGAGGTGAGTCCCCTGGTCTGTCTGTTCCTGAGGTGATTCCCTGGTCTGTGTGTAGACAGAGAGAGATAGAGAGGCAGGCAGGCAGACAGGCAGGCTGGAGCTCAGTTAATGATTGTTTTGATGCAGCTGATTAGGACTGTGTACTGTGGAGTCAAATTTAGCCCTTCCCCTGAGGTAGTCCTCCTGGGCCCCGTGCCAGCTCCTAAAAGGGTGCTGACAAAGCTGTTTGAGTAAATTCTCCCTGCTGTGATGTCCAACAATGAAATACAACTAGTCGTGTCTCAGAGGCTTGAAGCTTGAATGAGATCTTCCTAGAATATGTAACGGAGTCACATAAATGAATGAAACAAGCCATATTGCTTTTTATACCATGATGTGATTCAAAGTTGAAGGATGGTAAAATAATTGTTAGAAACTAAAATGTCAAGATAAAAACTCCTTTATAAATAATACCATGCAGTGAATTCTATTTGCAGAAGAAATGTGACAGTCCCAGTGAGTAAAAGGCGTAAAATGACAGAGACGAAGAGGGAGAATGTCATTACTCTCTCCCCATTCTCTGATGGATACATTGATTGAACCCTGTCGATCGCCTGTTGCAGACAGCGGCAATGTCTTTGCTGAGAGCACTTCACAGCTATTTGTCTGAACATTCTGCAGACAGCCTGATTCACTGGTAGGGATGCACCTGGCGTGTTGTGTGGGTGGTACTGCCTACTGCACCTGATCCTGAAAGACATGGTCTGTTAGGATTATTACACTGCTGATGTTACAGTATGTTAGGATATGGCCAATGAAATCCCTGGAACAGTCTTCATGAGCAGCAATTTACCTAATTGCATACGACAGATAGGCTGGTGAGAGGTTTATGGGGTAAATCGAGTGGAAGGCACAATGATCTGGCAGGAATGAGCCATGGAACATAGCAATAAAGGATTGACTCCATCATCACAGCCGTCTCTGACACAAGTAGCATACGTCAAAAGCATCCTGAAACAGGGTCAGAGCATTTCCGGAGAGATACAGACTGGACATCCTAATCATAAACCCATAGAGAGCAACATCTGTGGATCTGCGCTCATGCCAAAGACCAACACCGTTAAAATGTCCTGGGGGCATGAGGAGTCTGCCCCCCTCAGCTCCTCACAGACCCAAAACCAAAACCAACAACACAAAACATGTGCACTGACAGCTGTTGTGATTGCATCAGGTTTATGCAGGATAAAGGTAATCTTAGGAAAGGTTATAAAATCCAGTTGTCGTCCTGTCTGAGTACTTGACACCCTTATTATTTGACATCTCAAATCAAATCAAATCAAATTTTATTTGCCACATGCGCCAAATACAACAGGTGTAGACATTACAGTGAAAAGCTGACTTACAAGCCCTTAACCAACAATGCATTTTTTAAAGATTTTATTTTATTTTTATGATGTGATGTGCACACCAAGGAACTTGAAGCTCTCAACCTGCTCCACTACAGCCCTGTCGATGAGAATGGGGCGTGCTCAGTCCTCTTTTTTTTCCTGTAGTCCACAACCATCTCCTTGTCTTGATCACATTGAGGGAGAGGTTGTTTTCCTGGCACCACACGGCCAGGTCTCGGACCTCCTCCCTATAGGCTGTCTCATCGTTGTCGGTGACCAGGCCTACCACTGTTGTGTCGTCAGCAAACTTAATGATGGTGTTGGAGTCGTGCCTGGCCATGCAGTCATGGGTGAACAGGGAGTACAGGAGGGGACTGAGCACGCACCCCTGAGGGGCCCCCGTGTTGAGGATCAGCATGGCAGATGTGTTGTTACCTACCCTTACCACCTGGGGGCGGCCCATCAGGAAGTCCAGGATCCAGTTGCAGAGGGAGGTGTTTAGTCCCAGGATCCTTAGCTTAGTGATGAGCTTTGAGGGCACTATGGTGTTGAACGCTGAGCTGTAGTCAATGAACAGCATTCTCACGTAGGTGTTCCTCTTGTCCAGGTGGGAAAGGGCAGTGTGGAGTGCAATAGAGATTGCATCATCTGTGGATCTGTTGGGGTGGTATGCAAATTGGAGTGGGTCTAGGGTTTCTGGGATAATGGTGTTGATGTGAGCCATGGCCAGCCTTTTCAAAGCACTTCATGGCTACAGAGTGCTACGGGTCGGTAGTCATTAAGGCAGGTTATCTTAGTGTTCTTGGGGACAGGGACTATGGTGGTCTGCTTGAAACTTGTTGGTATTACAGACTCAGTCAGGGACATGTTGAAAATGTCAGTGAAGACACTTGCCAGTTGGTCAGCACATGCTCGGAGTACACGTCCTGGTAATCCGTCTGGCCCTGCGGCCTTGTGAATGTTGACCTGCTTAAAAGTCTTACTCACATCGGCTATGGAGAGCGTGATCACATAGTCATCCGGAACAGCTGGTGCTCTCATGCATGCTTCAGTGTTGCTTGCCTTGAAGCGAGCATAGAAGTGATTTAGCTCATCTGGTAGGCTTGTGTCACTGGGCAGCTCGCGGCTGTGCTTCCTTTTGTAGTCTGTAATAGTTTTCAAGCCCTGCCACATCTGACGAGTGTCAGAGCCGGTGTAGTACGATTCAATCTTAGTCCGGTATTGACTCTTTGCCTGTTTGATGGTTTGTCGGAGGGCATAGTGGGATTTCTTATTAGCTTCCGGGTTAGAGTCCCGCTACTTGAAAGCGGCAGCTCTACCCTTTAGCTCAGTGTGGATGTTGCCTGTAATCCATGGCTTCTGGTTGGGGTATGTATGTACGGTCACTGTGGGGACGGCGTCATCGATGCACTTATTGATGAAGCCAGTGACTGACGTGATGTACTCCTCAATGCTATCTGAAGAATCCCGGAACATATTCCAGTCTGTGCTAGCAAAACAGTCCTGTAGCTTAGCATCTGCATCATCTGACCACTTTTTTATTAACCGAGTCACTGGTGCTTCCTATGAATTCATAACTTTGATTCCTTTTGTAATATAAAAAGGGCTACACACTATAACAGGATTGCAAGGGGAAGTTGCATGAGAAAGTCCTATTCAACAGAACCTTCTGTCCCAGCAGGGATGGGGTGGCTCTAGTATCATTTTTGGCAGAGGTTTGTTTTCTTGGCAGAGATGAAAGCAATGTTAATGATGCATGTTGGAGAGGGCAGTTTTTATTTACTATGATACTAGGACATGTCAAACAGTCTAATGAACAAACCTCACAGGGCTTTGCAGAGACAACCCAAGGTCTACCAACTATTTGCTGTGCTGCGTAGTAGTCAAAGGGTGAGGAATACTATCCATTTAACTCATGCAGAAGGATTACCACATTCAAAACATCTGAGACCTGCAAAGAAATATTATGGCTATCGGATGGCTCAGATTTCTGCATAGAGCAAAGCAAACAAGTTTGTCCAAAGAACAAGGTGAGGAATATCTCCTGCATTGATCTCGGGTGTACTGGGCCTGCTGGCCAATGGAGCCTGGGGATGAAAACTGCACTGACCAGTCAGTACGGGTGGGGCTGGAGCTTGTCTTCAGTTTAGTGGTGTCCTCTTCATCTAAAAGGTTGAATGTTTACCTACAATATATATACAAAAGTATGTGGACACCCCTTCAAATTAGTGGATTTGGCTATTTTAGCCAAACTCGTTACTAACAGGTGTATAAAATCAAGCACACAGGCATGCAATTTCCATAGACAAATATTGGCAGTAGAATGGCCTTACTCAAGTGTTCAGTGACTTTCATCGTGGCACTGTCATAGGATGCCACCTTTCCAACAAGTCAGTTTGTCAAA